ACTTCGGATCGTTGTGTCTAAATTAGAGACAAATCCAAACAAGGATGTTGAAACACTTGCAGAAGTAATACTTTAGTATTTTAATCTCAGTTTACAAATGTGTTAAATTAATATATAACATCAACATATTTATAATATTTAAGTAAAAATATTTCGGGAGGTCATCTATTATTTTGCTGACCAAACTGCAATTAGAGGAAGAACAAAAAGTGATTCAGGTAATTAAGTAGATTATTTACACACTTATATTTTGTTCTCATGATTTTTTATTTATATTTTTCTTTAAGGTTTTAATATGTTTTTTATTATTATGCAGCTAAATGGTGGTTTATATATAGTACTGATGCTCCAAATTTGAGAAAGATTGTTATGAGAATATTGTCGCAAACAGCCTCATCTAGTGGTTGTAAGAGAAACTGGAGCACATTTGCTCTCAGTCATACTAAAGTGAGAAATCGACTCAATTATCAAAAGTTAAAAAGGTTAGTGTTTGCACAATATAACATTGAGGTTGAAATTAAAGCACCTTATGAAGGACAAAAAAGGGTATGAATTCAAACCTATAGATTTAACCATTGTTTTTTAGGAAGACAAAGGTACTTCAGAATGGTTAGATGATCCTGGTGATGCACTTTTAGATGAACTTGATGATGATGGGCAACTAACAATACCAAACTCTTTTCTGGCAACGTGGGCAAATTGTTTTTCCGATGACGATGGAGGAGTAGGCCTAAGTCAAGGTGTTGTGTCACCACAAAAATCAAGATCCAAAATAGGTAGAGAAGGATCAAGTAAAACATTGGATGATGAAGAATTTGTTAGACTAATGAGAGTTCCACCAAGACGTAAGCAACCTATCACTGTCACTAGTAAAACTGAGGATGATCATAATGGTGATGGCAGCAATGATAATGGTGGTAAAGATGATGATTAAGATAGTGGTGGTGGTGGTGGTAGTGGTGGTGGTGATAGCGGAGGTGGTGATAGCCATGGACATGGAGGCGATGGTGGTGGTGGTGATGAAGGTACAGGGAGTCAAAGTCCACATAAAATTGTATTTACTGTAGAGGAAGGATTTATACATGTTACACAAAATAAAGATCATGGCTCTTGACGAATGCTTCAATATGAACGGCGCTCAAAATCAACTCGAGATTGTCAATGTGAGCGTACTCAAAATCTGATCACTCCACATGGTATGGGTGCTATTAGGCATGGAGCTAATATGGTTAATGATGATTTTTTTACTATGAGTATAAAGTGGAAGTGGAAGTGGAAGTGAACACCATAATTATGGTTCGTCGTCTTCATATGATTATGGTTCTAGACATGGCATTCTCTCATATGATTATGGATCGGGGTATGACACACGAGGATACGAATATGGATCCTCAACATATGGTTATGGATCTGGCTATGACTCCCAGACATCCTCCTCATATAGACAAGATGAAGGTTGGCTACGGATTGGTAAATTTGTTCTCCAACAAATTGGTTGGATGTAGTGTTACAGACTATCAGAGGTTTGGGAGAGAGTATAATTCATATTATTATAATAATATGAGTTAGAGTAACTATTGTCATCATATTTATGTCACATATAGAGTTTTTCTAAGTAGCTACCCAGAGCCTACACCGATGTATGAGCCTGCTCGACACTCCACAGGGGGATGGATGTAGTCATGTAAGTATGTATTCATTAGCATTTCATGTGTATTATGAGACTTTAATATTATATAAAAATGTGTTTATTCGATAAAAATTAAGTGTTTGAAACTAATTTAAGTGATTTTTGCCTCATGTCAAGCCTTTTTTTTTTCTCCAATTTAAATTTATTATTGTATAAATAGATATTAACCTAATAAATATGTTGAATTAATCAATTATTTAGCTTATCTTTATAAATTAACGGATTGTGTTTGTTTTCATGCGTTTTCATATTTTTTCTGCGTTTCCAAAACATTTCTGTTTTTGAGCTGACCAAAACGGTACTTTGAAATGAAATTTTGATCCTTGTTAGTCACACATGATGAAGACCCCGATATAATAATCATTTTTTTGGTTCTTTTTTAAGATACTGAAGGATACGAAAAAAAAGCCTCTCAATGAAGCTTGTGAGGAGTATGCATAACCTGACTAATTACACCAACTGTAACACCTTGTTTGGTATGAGTGAAAATAGGAAGGATAAAAAATGGAGGAAGAAAAGTGGGAGGGAAGGAGCTGTCTTCCACTGTTTGGTATGAAAGAAAAATGGGAGGGAATGGAAAGTTGGGATCATAAGCTTTCCTTGGCGCCTGCCAAAAACTTTTTCCCCATTTTTGGGCAAAAAATAGATTGAAAAAGTGGAGGGAAGATGGCATCTTTTGAGAATTGATTATTTTACTCTTTTTAGCAGACAAAGATGCATTCACTTCCAAATTATATATTAAAACTTCACGAAAGGAGAAAGAGGTGTTGTAGTCTGCAATCTTGGTTCTTCACGTGAATTTCTTCGCCTTTTTACAGGTAAGTTCCCCCAACTTCATGCAATTTCTTTGGTCAATTTGCTTTTTCTTATTTTCATGGTTGTATATATATTTTTTCATGAAGTTGTTGTATATATAGCTTTCTATCCATAAGCTTCCTTTCCAGTCATTTTCTTTTCCTTTAACTTTTGATTTTCAACCTCAATCAAATAATTTTGAGAAAAAAATTGATCGAGAGAAAGAGCAGAATTAAAAAAAAAAATTGTTATTGACCTTGCTAAATTACACTTTTTTGGCTACCTTTATGCAATCCCAAATTGTTCTTGGGAACAGAAACAATAAAAAATAATTTTATTTCAAATTTTGACCTGATTCTAGTTTTCCATATGGGAGAGGCATATTACATGGTGTGAGGAGCTTCCATATTTGATGGGTATATGTAGAAGAAAGTGCTATGAAAGTTCATCTTCCTACAAAATTAGATTTTGTCAATTCAAAGGACAATAGTTTTTAATTTCTTATCTTTCTAAGTCTTCTTTTATACATTCATATAAGCCCACACCAGTACACCCACTAAGAGGTCAAATTTGGGTACTGCCCCACAATATTTGTTGACCAGCTTCTTCATTTTTTCATGCCTATTAATATGTAAAGGGGAGAGTTTTTGAGTTGATTGTTAGCTAGCTAAATATTAATCATTTTTTCTTCTTGTCAAACTTGAATTAACCAACCTAGTGTTCTTTTGGCAGTCAAAATCAAATTAATCAATTTCTTCATTCGCTTTGATTTTTTTAATGCTTATTTTTCTATAACTTCGACATTTTGTATTTCTATTGACTATTTATTTTACCCAACATAAATTTAGTAAATGGATAGAGAAGAAAGTCTAGAATGGAACAATGAAGAAAGTTGGGAAGTGACTTTAGAAGATAATGGGGATGGTAATTGTGGGGATCATGTTGCACAAATTTTAAATATTTGGGAACGACGATGGTGTATGGCTGCGGTTCAAATTGTTTGCTATGTGTTCAATATATTCTACTTAGTTGAGATGACATACCATTCACAATATGTGGATAGGTCAATCATCCAAAATAGTGGAGAAAGAGAAGGTAAAACAAGAACTCATGACACAACTCACTAATAATGAAAAATGTCGTGACATCACACGCATGAGCCCTCTTGCTTTTTCTAGGTTGTGTGAGATACTATGAGACACCGTAATTATTAGTATCGTTTTTGCACCGTATCGTACGATACACGATATAATACGATACGTGACGATTTTTTTTTTTTTTTTTTTTTTGAGGTTAAAATGACATCGTTTTATTCTATGACTTATTTTTAAATCACTAGCTAGTGAAACAATGTCGTTTCAGTGGTTATAGTTTAAAAATAAATAAATAAAATATGCTGCTAATGTTGTTCAATTGAATTCAAAATTTTTAATTAATATTTAGGTTGTTCAAGTAGTTGATATTAGAAGTTTAAATTAGAGGTCTTTGCATTTTGATATTACTAAATTATGTTAGGAACTTGAATAGTTGGTAGAATATTAATGAAATATTATTTTATTATGAGTCTATGACTTTTTTATAAAAGTGTATACATATATTTTATTAATAATTATTAAAAAAATTAAAATTGCGCGTATCTTACAATACACGATACACTATTTTTAAAAAATGATACGCCTTCTGATACACGATTTGACAACTATGTGAGGCACAGGTCGTCTTTATGACAACAAGAATGCTATTGTTGAAGAACAATTGGCCAAATTTCTTTAATTACTTTCACATAAGGTCACCAACCGTCAAATTCAGTTCTTTTTTCGTCGATCTGACGAGATTGTAAGTCGTCATTTCAATGATGTTTTAAGAGCCATCATTAGTTTGAAAGATCAATTGCTACAACAACTCACTGGTTCAGAGGTCCCTCCGCAAATACTTCACAATAATAGATACTATCCATACTTCAAGGTAAATACAATTTTGCACCTTTTTACAGAAAAAGATACTACTATTTATAAATTAATCTCTAAAATGTATTGACAGCATGTGCTTTTGATATGACATTCACATATTTTTCCAGGATGGAAAGGGGCCGCATCTGATTCAAGAATATTAAAGAATGTTTTAACTAGATAAGATAAACTTATAATTCCTCGAGATAATTTTAGATTATAGGTATAATATCTTTCAAGATCTAAGCTATGTGTTAAAAAACTTGGTAATTTTTTATTTTCTAGGAAAATATTATCTAGTGGATGGAAGGTACATATTACGAAGTGGATTAATTGCGCCATATAGAGGTGTGCGCTACCATTTGAAAGAATACTCCACACGTGCTCTAGAAAATCCCCAAGAACTATTTAATCATCAACATTCTTCACTGCAGAATGTAATTGAGAGATCATTTTGGGTGCTAAAAAAATGATTTCCTATTATTAGGAATGGTGTAGAAGCCCATTATCCTGTTAGTACAGTTACTGAAATTGTTCTGGCTTATTGTATCCTACATAATTATCTAATGGGAGTTGATCTCGATGAAAGATTAATTGCGGAGGTTGATCGAGAGCTTAGGTATGCTGCGGTTCAGATTTAGGAGGGTTCTTCCCCAAGTAATGACGATCATGATGCTAGGCAAGGCGCAATTATTAGGGACTCCATAGCAGCTATCATGTGGCAAGACTACGTCTTTCATAGGTTATGATGCTTTGATTTTATTCATCTAGCAGTTTTAATGTTATCAACTTAGTAATGATGGGGTGATATTACTTCACTTATTATTATGTTGTCAAACATTCAATTATGTTTTGATAATTATATTGTATGAAATATATTTTTATTATGTTGTCCTTCGTTCCAACATTGATGATTGTTATTTGTGTTATATTTGTGATTTGATTCTATTTAAAATTGATAATTAGTGGATTTTGTGATGAGCAATCATTTTTATCGAGCATATCTTCTTGTACTTGCAGTTTGATTGATGGAAAAAAAAAAACGACAATATTGAGGATAGTAAGAAGGATAATGTGACGTGGAATGAATATTGAGATGAAGTTTTGATTGATGCGTTGGTAGGGGAGTAGTTGAAAGGAAATAGGCCCAATGGCACTTGGTCAACTACTACTTTTAATTATGTTCTTAAAACACTTACTGAAAAACTCAAATATCCGTTTGAGAAGGACCATGTGAAAAATCGCATAAAAACTAAAGAGTGATTTTTTTTCATGTCATGAACTATTCAATGACTTGACAATGAGTGGGTTTGCATAGAATCTGGAAACACAACTAAGGGAAGACGAGAATGAAATTTGGAAGGAACTCATACAGGTATATTGAAATAAATTTAATGCATCATGCAATTTCTCTCTTTATATAAGTACATGTGTGGGTAACTCGTAGGTTTGCACTTGGTTCATGTCATAGGTAAAATCAGCTGCTGCAAAAATGGAGGTATACTAAGATTTGCCATTATGACAAGTTGTATGATCTCTTTGCGAAGGATAGAGCTATTGGTGAAGGTGCTATAAGTGCAAAAGAAAAAGTTCGTCAATGGGTCCCATTTCTCCACCTTTTCAAGTTACCTCACAAACTACTACCTCATCCAAAAGCTCTAAACAAAAGGCTGACTTTGTGGATGTACTTGAGAGTTGAGAGGCATATTGAAATCCTCAATAGTGGAATCAATAATGTCGCAGAGGCAATCAAGGAAGGAAATGCTATTGCTGAGAGGGGAATAGCTATTGCAGATCGAGCTAGTCCACGTAACAATGAGGACGAAATATTTTATGAGCTATTGAGTATTGGAGTGTCGGATCCATTACAGCTGGATGTGTTTTTCTTCTTGATTAAGAGTAAGGCAAACATGAGAGCATTCTTTGGAGTCCCATCAAACTTATGTGTAGATCAGACAGCTCTTGAAGGATTCTTGGTTTGTCATATAGATGTTTTTTGGGGCATGATAGGGCTAGTTTATGTGTGTGTATGCACGTACTCTACTATTTATCTGACTTTTGTCTCCATGTTGTGATAAAACCAAGGATCAAAATTTCGTTTCGAAGTACCGTTTCGGTCAACTCAAAAATAGAAACGTTTCGGAAACATTTCGGAAACGCAATGGAAACGCAGAAAAAATATGGAAACGCATAGAAACACAAATGCAATCCATTAATTTATAAAGATATGCTAAATAATTTATTAATTCAACATATTTATTAGGTTAACATCAATTTATACAAGAATAAATTTAAATTTGAGGGAAAAAAAGGCTTGACTTGAGGCGAAAGTCACTTAAATTAGTTTCAAACACTTAATTTTTATGAAATAAACACATTTTTACATAATATTAAGGTCTTATAATACACATGAAATGCTAATGAGTACATACTTACATGGTTACATCCATTCCCCTGTGGAGTGTCGAGCAGGCTCATACATCGGTGTAGGCTCTGGGTAGCTACTTAGAGAAACTCCATATGTGACATAAATATGATGATAATAGTTACTCCAAATCATATTATTACGGTAATATAATCCAATTAATAATACTATTTTATTATAATACTAATAATGAAGGGTATCAAATTAAATTAATGATACTTATGTATACTTAAAAATTAAATGTAATTGCAGTGGGTATTAAATGTAATTACAGTAGGTATTAAATATAATTATATTAGGGTATTAAATGTAATTGTTAATACTTATAACAAAAAAAAAAAAAAAAAAACTTGCACAGCAGTGAGGTATTAAATATAATTACAGTATGTATTAAATATAATTATAATGGGTATTAAATATAATTATAGTAGGGTATTAAGTGTAATTATTTATTCTTATAACAAAAAAATTATAAAAGACAGAAGAGCAGTGGGAATTAAATGTAATTATAGTGGGATATTAAATATAATTATAGTGAGTATTAAATGTAATTACAGTGGGTATTAAATGTAATTATAATGGGGTATTAAATGTAATTATTCATAATGAACCGAATATATCACTGTTTTGTTCAGAACGGTTCGAAACAATGCCGTTTCGACCGAAACACTGGAATTTTGTGATTCAACTACTGTTTCGTTTCGGAGTGTTGAAATTCCGAAACGTTTCGGACGTGTCGACACGACATTTTGATCCTTGGATAAAACACTACCATATTTTGGCAGATTAGTTGGTGAATTTTGTTAGAAGAAGATTTGATTAACGCACTAGAGAGAAACAATGGAAGGTGTGAATTAAACACAACTATCTGCTTTTTGGTCTTAATATTATATAAGCTACAGGTTGATGGCCCCTTGGTGTTGTACCGTTTAAGTTGTTATATATGTGTTGCAGTTGATCCTTTTTTAGTTCCATTTGCTTGGAAATTTTGAATTCAATTTACTTGATAAAGGGCCAGTGATTACCCTGTTACACTTTTATTTGATACAGTGGACTGAACACTGTTCACGTGTCAGCTGTTTCTGCTTCAGCTAGACTGCAATTTCTGTTGTTCCTCAGCTGCTGTCTGCAATTTCTGCTTCAGCTGGACTGCTCAGCTGCTGCTCTCTATTCAGCTTCTTCAGCCGGACTGCTGCTCAGCTGCTGTCTGCGATTTCTCTTTCAATTGGACTGCTTCTCAGCTGGACTGCTCCTCAGCTGCTGTCTGCAATTTCTGTTTCACCTGGACTGCCTGTTCAGTTGCTTCAGCTGGACTGCGATTAGGATTTCTGCTTTAGCTAGAGTTTTCTACCTATAGTTGGAGCATACTCCTTCAGCGTCGTACCGTCGAGGTTCACCCCCCAAAAAAAAAAAAAAATTACTGTCACACTTTATATATGCTTTAGCCTATCATATTCAAGCAATTGATATATTACATGTTAACTGAGTGCTTTGCCTTGCGTGATGGCTTAAATTTGATTTTGGAATATGAATTAGAAGTGTATGAGGTTATTATCGAATCTGATTCTGAAACATTGGTCCGTATGGTTTTGGGAAGGTCTGATATGCCTTGGAAATGCAAATCTTTGTTGGATCCGATTTGGCATCTTTTGGGAAGAATGCAGGTTAAGCTGGAGCATGTGTATAGGGAGGCTAATGGAGTAGCTGACTTCTTGGCTTCGTTTGCTGTGCAGACCGGGAGGTTTACTGTTTTTTCGGCTTCTGTTGTATTGCCTATTGCTGGAAGACTGTTATTGAATAAAGATCAGTCTTTGTTGCCTACTGTGAAGAAGAAGATGGTTCTGGAGAGGAGGACAGGGAGCTGAATTTTAGGTATTAAATGCTGATATTTTCTAACCATTTTGAAGAATTAAAGCCACATGTAGAGGCGTATTTAATTAATTCTTTGCTTCTTGTAATTCTGTGGTTCTTATTCAATAAAATTTTTCTCTTTCTTAAAACAAAAAAAAAAACATTTGATATAGGATCCAAACTTGGAATCTGTTTTGAGGGGATGTATGCTGAACAGTTGGTTCATGTGTTTTGCAATTCAACCCTTTTACCAAACCTTCTATGATAATTACTATAGAAAAATTCACCTCTTAGATGTGAGGGTATAATGGTAAATTTGGAATATATATTTTTCCTTTCCATCCAATTTTCTATCTAATACCAAAAAAAAGAAAATGTATCCCTTCAATTTTTCATCCATCATACCAAACATAAATGAGAAAATACATTTCTTCCCTCTAGGGATGGAAAATCTTTTGTATCAATTTTTTATCTATCTAACTTTCTATCATTCCTACCAAACAGACCGTAAATGTAATATCAGGACATGTATCTATGAGATAAATTCGTTTATCAACCAATCTTCGATAGTGCACTATGTCATCAAAAAATTTTCCACTCTTGGCATTTAACTTGACTATAGAATCTACAAGGGTATCAACAAGACAAGTAGCAAGAGTACTAGTTTCAAATATTAAATCCAATATGTACTTATGTTTGCATAAATTGATACATTCATTTGATTGAACAACCTCAATCCTAAGGACGTATCGGAAAAGACTCAAATCTTTAATGTGAAATTACTTTTCCAAATAGAGCTTGAAACTGGCAATACTATCAAAATCATCATCACTAATGATAATATAATCAGCATATATTATGAAAATGATAACCCCTTGGATTGAATGTCGAATAAACACTGAATTATCTAAACTAGAACGCTGAAAACCATACTGAAGGACCACAATACTGAACTTATCAAACCAAGCACATGGTGACTCTTTTAGAACATATAGTGCTTTATTCAGAAGAAATACTAATTGTTCCTTACCAGAAGTAACATAACCTAAGGGTTGAACCATGTAGACCTCCTCCTATAAATCTCCATGTAAAAAAATCATTCTTTATATCTAGTTGGTACAAGGGGCAATCACGACAACCTGTAATCGAAATAAGAACTCTGACAGAGTTTAAGTCAAGTAATTAGGAAAAAGTCTCACTATAATCTTCACCATATGTTTGGGTGTAGCCCTTGACAATTAATCATGCCTTCAAACACTCAACGGAGCCACCAAGAAGATATTTTACGGTGTAGATCCAACGACAACTAACATGTTACTTCTCAAGAGGAAGTGAAGTGAGATCCCAAGTCTGATTCTCATGAAGAGATTTCATTTCCTCATTCATAGCTAGTTTTCATCTAGGAGATACCAAAGCCTATATCAAGGAATTAGGAACAACCATAGATGACAAGGTAGATGCAAAACAACAGAATGATGATAAAAGTTGATGCATGAAAACAAAATTAGAAATGGAAGGTCTGGTATAGTTATGAGTACCTTTCCTCATAACAATAGGCAAATAGGAAGAGACGAATTAGTTGACGGCTTAGAAGGTAGGACCTCAGTAGAATCAAACGATAGCTATAGAGTTAGAGAATATGAAACAACTTGTTTGTCATTGGACTAACGATAAACCTGCAAGGGAGGTGTAGTAGTTAAGGAGGAAGAAGATACATAGTTTGGTACAATAGGCAACAAGGGCTTCCCTTGACTAGGAAATACTAAATCTGGTGAAAGTATATGTCCAGTTGCAGAAAAACAAGTCAATGATTTAAAAAAGATAACATCAGCACTAACATAGTATTGGCGAGAGACAAGAGTCATAGAATCGATAACCTTTCTGTGTAGGAGAATATCTCAAAAAAATACTTAATTGAGCGAGATAAAGGTTTATCCCGATCCGGACCAAGTAGATGAACAATTGCAAGGCAACCAAAGACACGAGGAGTAAGCCCAATATGCTTTTGACACATGCATGTTAAACATCAAGGTGCAGACAACATTCAATAAATGACAATGTTTACATTCAGTAATACTATTTTGTTGGGAGGTACAAGTACATGTAGTTTGATGGATAAGGTCACGGCCTACACAAAAGTTTTTCATAATTGCTTGAATATACTCAAGGGCATTCTCAAACCAAAGAACCTTAATACGAGTATTGAACTGAACCAAAATTTCATTATAAAATGTGGTAAAATTGTAAATACCTTAGGTAATTCAGATTGATTTTTCATAAGAAATAATCAAATCATACAAGAGAAATCATCAACAAAGATGGCAAAATATTGAAAATTAAAAACACTTTTGATTTTCGCAGGACCCCAAAAGTCTGTAGGAACAAACATGTGAGGGATCTACCTCCCCATTGCCGGGGATATACCTCCCTCCAAAAGCAATCCTCCCCATTACCAGGGATATCCCGCTCTCCATCAAAGGATTTCGGCTAACCTGCAGGTCAAACCCCCACAGTAGCCTTTACCTCTGTCCCACATCGGGGAAAGAGTCGTCTCCCCACCCCCATATAAGCCGAAGCACCATATGAGAGCAGTACCCAAGTACCAGTGTGGAGACAACTCTTTCCCCGATGTGGGACAGAGGTAAAGGCTACTGTGGGGGTTTGACCCGCAGGTTAGCCGAAATCCTTTGGTGGAGGGCGGTGATATCCCGGTAATGGGAGGTTAACCCTTGGAAGACAGGGTCCCGGTAATGGGGCAGGGTCTTCACACAAAAGGCGCCTTTTATGTGAAGACCCTGGTCCATTACCGGACCCCTGTCTTCCAAGGGCATTCCTCCCATTACCGGGATATCCCGCCCTCCACCAAAGGATTTCGGCTAACCTGCGGGTCAAACCCCCACAGTAGCCTTTACCTCTGTCCCACATCGGGGAAAGAGTCGTCTCCCCACCCCCATATAAGCCGAAGCACCATATGAGAGCAGTACCCAAGTACCAGTGTGGAGACAACTCTTTCCCCGATGTGGGACAGAGGTAAAAGCTACTGTGGGAGTTTGACTCGCAGGTTAGCCGAAATCTTTTGATGGAGAGCAGGATATCCCCGGTAATGGGGAGGATTGCTCTTGGAGGGAGGTATATCCCCGGTAATGGGGAGGTAGATCCCTCACATAAAATCCCCATTACCAGGGATATCCCGCTCTCCATCAAAAGATTTCGACTAACCTGCGAGTCAAACCCCCACAGTAGCCTTTACCTCTGTCCCACATCAGGGAAAGAGTCGTCTCCCCACCCCCATATAAGTCGAAGCACCATATGAGAGCAGTACCCAAGTACCAGGTTTGACCCGCAGGTTAGCCGAAATCCTTTGATGGAGAGCGAGATATCCCCGGTAATGGGGAGGATTACTCTTGGAGGGAGGTATATCCCCGGTAATGGGGAGGTAGATCCCTCACAAAACATGAAAAGGACTAGGCTAACGACCGAAAGAACTAGGAGAAAAAGAGCTATGGTGATGCTTGCCTAATTGACAAGCTGCACATTCTAACACATTAGAAGAATTCAAAACAGGGATAACTTGATGCAACTTTTGCAGAATGATCCCGTCAAAAGTGCCATTGAAAAAGAGATACAATTGTAGTTTCAGGTATCAGCTGAGACCAATACGACGCGGTTGAGTCATATTCACCTCGACCACTGCCGATAAGAAACCCATACCCGCTACGAAAAAATCACGAGTTGATCTTAAATCGGATGTGTCTAGGTCAATCTTGCATGAAAAATCCAGAACACAGTGAATCAATAAGAATGCTTTTCAGAAGAACCCACAGGCCACATGATTCTCTATAGTTTCACATGTAATTTGCATAAGGATGAACTCTAAATCAGACATTTTTCCCCATATATAAACAAATGAAGAATTGGTAAATATCACGTACACGTAAATCAGACCCCTTCTTCATCGTAGAAGCTCGTAGACATAACAGCTAAGAAACATGGACACGGATACGAGATACGGATACGACACGCCAACACGACATTTCTCAAAAAAAGTAGGACATGGACACGTTGCAAAAAAATTATATTTTATACTAAACATTATATAATTTATTGCAAATATAGTGATAATGATATACAATTTATAAAAAATTCAGTATTTTATGATAAGTAAACCTAATGTCTAGTCATCTGTGTAAATTTTTAGACTAAAATATCTTCATTATAGTCAATAATCATTATTTTTTTTTTTGTAGACAATGTGTACCTAATATATAATTTAAATAATTGCCCTCATTTTCTCATTTTTTTTTAAATATTTATGCATCTTTTGTTTTTATTATTATAATTGGAGTATAACTTTAACATGTCTAGTATTAGTAATTATATGTTCTCAAATTTTTAAGATTTGTTAATCACATTTCAACATATGTCTATTGTTTAGTGGTAGACAAGTTCTAAAGAAATGTTTGACACGTCATCAAAGAAGTGTCTG